TAATTGCACAGTTTGCTTTAACTTTGCGAGACGAATCTTTTGAACCTAATTAGTCAATGTTTGGATAATAATTCACAAATACAAACAAAATGCTACAGAGGAATCCTTCACTATGCAAAGGTTGTCTGCGCAAACTTTGCCCAACTAAACACCGCCTTTGTTTGCTTTAGATTAAAATAAGATAGCTTTGGTTAGTTAGGTGCTCATTTTTTTTTTGCTAAGGCCACGTTTAGTTTCAAAATTAAATTCTCAAAAGTGCTATAGTAACCATCACATTGAATCTTGCGATACATGCATGGAACATTAAATGTAGATGAAAAAAAAACTAATTGCACAGTTTGGTTGGAAATCGCGAGACGAACATTTTGAACCTAATTAGTCCATGATTGAACACTAATTACCAAATAAAAATGAAAGTGTTACAGTAGTCAAATTTCTAAATTTCACCCAACTAAACACAGCCTAATTAGTATTTTTTAGTGACGACCCAACTAGCGCCCGAACGTCCGGCTTCAGGGGCGCGTCCGGACGCACCTAGTCCACATAACGTTTCGATCCCGACCGCAGCTCGTCCTCTTGCCGCGCCCCACAGGACCATCTATCCGATGCGAATAGAACGAGCGAGCCCCCACGCCTGAAAACGAGCGCGCCCCTGCGTGCGGCCCGTCCACTGTTGTGTCATCGTGCCTCGTCGCGTCGCCATCTCCCGCCATGCCACCATCCCCTACACGCCCGTTGCCCTCCACGCCCCTATCTCCACCGTGCTCCATCACCTTGCAACACGGAGCAATGCGAGATGCAAACATCAGAAGTATTACTTGTTTGCAACATCAGAACAAGTCTACTGCAACATCAGAACAAGGCGACTGCAACAACGGAACAAAAGCTACTGCAATGCGAGATGCAAAATCAGAAAAAGAGACTAATGCAACAAAAAATATGACTTGTTGCAACATCAAAACAAGGCTGCTGCAACAACAGAACAAAGTGCAATGCGAGAAAGCAACATCAGAAAAAAAAAGATTAATGCAACAAAGAAATATTACTTATTGCAACATCAGAACAAGGCTACTGCAATGCGAGATGCAACATCAGAAATAAAAAAGACTAATGCAATAAAGAAATATTACTTGTTGCAATAGCAAAACAAGGCTACTGTAACGGAGCTCGCCGGAACCCTAGCTACCGCCGTGCCCCTCAGATCTAGAGGAGGAGGAGGAGGAGGAGGAAGAGGAGGAGCGCTCATATCCAGAGGAGGAGGTGGAGGAGGAGGAGGAGGGCTCAGATCCAGAGAAGAACCGACCTATCTCATCGGAGCCACCGCCGTCGTCCTCGTCTCCGGGGGAGGAGCGAGAGCCATGTTGCTGGGGGCGCAGGGTACCAATGGAGTCGCGGGAGGGGGGGGAGGAGCGCCGGTGGGCGGACGGGGCGGTAGCGACTGGGTGCGGCGTCCGTCCCGGTTGCGGGAGTGAGCGAGGGGAGGAACGGCTGCGGGAGTGAGCGAGGAGAGGATAAGGATGAGTGCGGGAGACAGGGTCTGGGAGATGGCGTGCGGCAGGGGCGGGGCGCGGTTTTGGGTGCGTGCGGCAGGGGCGAGTCGGTTCGGCGCAACTTTGGGTGTATCCGTTCCCGTCCGGACGACCGTCATATATCATTATCGTTTTAGTAACGTTGGCCAAGTAGCCTATAGGTGTCCGCACAGATAACACACCTACGTTCACAAGGTTGTTTAAAAAGAACAATTAGAAGAACGTGATCTTCTAGTCTTCATGTGTATAATTATCTTACCATTTTGTCCACAAAGGAGCCTCCACGTTGTAGAAACTACTCCCTCCATGCATTTTCTGGCTTTTCTAGTACGTCATTTCTGCTATGCACCTATAAATATACATTATATCTAAATACATAGTAAATGTTATATATCTTGAAAAGCAGGAGTGACTTATAATTTTGAACCGAGGAAGTACCATATATATTGTAGAAGACAATCAAAGTGCTCATATACATGTTGATAACTTATCTACCATTGTCGTATATTGTATAAAACATTAGCCCAAAATAGTACTCTTATACCTATTTCAGTATTACCCATCCCGGCCATGCCATTATTTAAAAAATGAAGCCAACACTCATGTCATACTTAATGCATCTTCCATAAAATTTGAAATTCAAATGATACAAAATATAATAAAAACAGAAACATACTTCAAGATGAGAAGTTAGGGACAATAAAAATATAATAGACAAATCAAAGGAGATAAGATTTAATGTAAGAGAACAACTAACGCATCTATATTGTAGAAAAATGTGTTTGAGTAATGGAAAATAAACAATGAAACTTATTGTCCCTTCTTGTACATATGCATATTGTTTGTCGGTCTAGCTAGCCAAAGGCTATTGTCTCTCACAACAACGAAAGAGGATAAGTCGATGTGAGGTGAGGTGGAAAGGCTTTAACATTTAGGATATCGCTAAGCTTGTATAGTGTTTCAAGTGGTAGTTGAGCTCAGATTGTGTATCATATAGGATGGCAACAAGAGCGACGTGTCTAGTTACACATATTACAATCAACACCGATAAAATTACCATCTCTATGAGAGGATACATTCATTTTGTTTCTGCACTACTCATAGCCACAAAATGAACGTATCATCTCATAGAGATGGCGTAAGCTTTCAAGGCCACAACGTTATTAGTTAGGATACAAAGTAAAAATGTAACCCACATAGCTATGGTAGAGCCATAACCATTAGCAACAATAAAAAATGCTAATGAAGGCATCGACCAGTGAACATGGCATAAGATTGTGTGGTACAAGAGGATACATGTTGTTGTACTAGAATTGGTACATCGAGGTTGTAGCATTATCCAAATATAAGAGCAAGGAATGGCATGGAAATTATTGATGGTGGAACACCTATTTCGATTATTTTAGCATAGTAGACATTTAAAACATGAGTGTAAAAGGTCTTAAAACATTTTTATCAATAAAAAATTCCTTAATTTAATATAGCAAGAATAAATAAAATTACATATAAATATTTCAATGTACACAAGTAATTATCAAAATAAATTAAGCAATATCCATATGGATATTTAAGCAGATACATATATAGGATAATTCGCATAGTTGGGTGCCATATTTCAATTTTGCAGTAAAATTTAAATAATATATCATGAAGTATAAGCTGAGGTAGTCCCACAATTAAATGGCATTTCATTTCTATTTTTAAGTGTCAAAATAATAGACTATTTAGTTTTTCTGAGCAAAAATAATAGACTATTTAGTTTTTTAGAAGAATAATAGATTACTTAGTGATAAAAATAATATGAGATAGGTCCACCATTCACTCACCTAAACCCATGGTGTCCGTCATTCCAATAGGCCGAAGTTAACGGTTCAATGCTTGATGATAGATGATGACTCTTGTTGGAGTGAGTTTACAACAGAGCGCCAGATTGGAAACAATGGAAACAGGACGGAAAAATCCACGTCGAGTGGAACTTTCATATTGTCTGCAAGCGTGACAAACCTAGGAACCTCCGGTCATTCCCTGCAATTAACTGTATTTACTTCTGTTGTGTAGTAATGTGATACACTGCAGTAGACTAGTAGTGCTATTTTTTTTTGTTGCTGTAGTGGGCTTGCATTTGCGTGCGCAAACTTTTTTTTTTTGAACTGAAAGGCTTCATCCGCGCCTATGATGTCTATGATCATTTTCCACACTTTTTTGTTTGATTGTGAATGACTGAATGGAATAAGTTCAAAAATCATCATTTTATTTCTCATAAGTTAATAGTAATTAGTAGAAGCAATAGTAATTGAGTCCTTCTACCATATCTGTGGTGATGCATCACCTAGATATTTGCGTTGATGTGTTCTTCAGCGATGGCATGACAGCGCATTCCTAGACGATACTGTACAGCATGCCTCAAAAAATATTTGACACTCCAACTAGCATCAACCAGACATTGTTTTCTTTAACAATAACTCCATACTCAATTTCCACCGGTAGTCTCCACTCATTTTCAAAATATTTAAAAGTTTGACTCAACAGAAAGTAAGATGTGTGTTTATTTTGTGATGGAGGGAGTAATTGGTAATTGCAACCATACCTTGCTGAAATTCCTCCCAATAACTGAATGTTCACATCTGCTAGAGGGAATTTGAGGTGGTCATAGGCTCCTAGCGATGACGATGCGATGCAGCACTCGCACCAAAAAAAAAAGAAAGTTGCCAACATGGTTCCTTGGATCTTTTTTTCACAGCAGTTGGATTCGCCATTTGAGTACTCGCCCTGAGCATAATTGATCGAAGACCGAATCGAACTAACCGAGACCGAGACCGAATAGTTCGGTCCTGAGTCTAGCTACCCAAACTTTTTACGGTTAGATCGGCTATATGCCTCGGGTCACTGAACTAACCTAATATTTTGATTTTATTGACATAATGTGTACTTTAGACTATTATTAGTGATATAATATTTATTCTAGTGGGTTTATATCAACCATCACTCTTATCACTTTGTTTAATCTATATGTTGTACTGTTATTTTTGCCTTGAAATAGAAAAAATATTTCTAAAATTTGCTACAAACTATAGTATTTATTAGTTTTTCTGTCTAATAAGTCCGGTTAGTTCGGTCACGATCGAGACTGAACCAAACTAACCGAGACCGAACTTGCTCGGTCCTTAGTTCTAGAACTAACCGATCGGTCACCATTTTTAGATGACCGGACTTTCGAAATGACCGAAGAATCGTTCGATTCGGTTCGGTCAGACTGAAGGCCCAAGCCTCTGGAGGATTTGTCACTGTGATTTTCATTCGGTCCACTGAAACCTAGTGGCTCGATGAACAAGTAGAAAGAACAAGGAGAAAGGAACAGTGGCAATCGATCAATTCGCTCGATGAACGAGGAGAAAGGAACAGTGGCGATCGATCAATTCTTGTGCTGGCATTGACAGTCCAGTGCGCGTACTGCCATGCTCATGCTTTGTTTCACAGCAGGTGCATGGCTTTAAAGAAGTCGTGCAGCGCCGCCCGCGACGACCCGCCATCCTCCGCCCACGCCCTGCTCAGCGCTTCCGACTCCGCCGTGTCCCCCATCACCTTCTCCACCGCCTCGACCACCCTGGACTTCTCCATGTTCCCGCGTGCCACCTCCACGCACGCCCCCCACTCCTCCGCCAGTATCTTGACGTTGTAGAACTTCTCGGCGGCGAGCGGCCAGCCCAGGAGCGGCACGCCGTGCGTGAGGCTCTCCAGCACAGAGTTCCAGCCGCAGTGGCTCAGGAACGCGCCCGTGGCGGCGTGCGCCAGGATCCGGAGCTGCGGCGCCCACCCACGGACCACGAGGCCCCTGCCGCTGGCGCGCGCACGAGCCTCGAACCCGCCCGGCAGCCACTCGTCGCGGAAGGCGCCATTGACGTCGAACCCCACCGGCGGCCGGACCGCCCAGACGAACGGACGGCCGGTCGACTCTAGCGCCGCCGCGAGCTCCGCCATCTGGTTCGCTCGTATCGTGTTCTGTGACCCGAAGGAGATGTACACGACGGACGATAGCCGCTGCGTGTCGAGCCAGCGGAGAATCCTCCAGTCGTTGCCACCGTCGTCCTTATCCGACGCCGGGACGCCACGGACCAGAGGGCCGAGGGGTATACCGGAACGCCGCCGAGGGTGCGCCGCAGCATGGCCAGCCCCGTGGGCTCGAGCTCCTCGACAGTGTTGGAGATCACCGCGTTCGTCAGGTAGCCACGCGGTATGTGGCGGCGGTTGTACGCGTCCACCTCTCGTCGCCGCAGGTGAAAGTGGGCGACAGCTGCGAGCGGTGGATCACGACCGCGGGGTGCTCCGGCAGCCGGAGCGTCCCGTCGGGGCCGAACGGCAGCGCCGGCATGTTGGCCCAGAGAGCGTGCAGGATGACGGAGCCGAACGCGCCGCACGAGAGGAAGAAGGCGTGGGCGAGCCCATGCCGGCGCGCCACGTCCACGGTCCACGAGACGAACACGTCGGCGATGACGCAGACGTTGGCGGCGGTGGGCTCCTCGTTCTCCTCGCCTTTGTGGACCCCGCCAGTTAAGCCCGAGAGGAAGTCGTCGAAGGCCTCGAAGAGCTTCATGAAGTCGCCGCGGTTGGAGAGAGAGCTGGTGGACTCGCAGTCGGCGGGGAGGCCGTGGTCGGCCGGCACAAACGGCAGCGCGTGGAAGCTGATGCTGGAGGACGACCCCGCGTCTGCGTCCGCCACAGAGGAGCGCAGCGCGGCCACGGTGAGCGGGGTGCAGACGATCGTGATCGTGACGCCATCCTGGAGCTCGCGGCGGAGGAGACGGGCGAGGGCGAGAAACCCGGCGAGGTGGCCCTGCGCCGGAAAGGGGAACAACACGACGTGACGATTCCTCTGAGTGGTGTCCGCCATGGATATCGGCGATGGTGGATGCGTGCCGGCCGGGATGAGTTGTACAACACTGTAGAGCGAATAATAAATTTCATATGAAATGGAAGTCTGGTAGCTATTAACGTAGTATAGTCAAGTAGCTATCACGTTGATTGACTTTGAAATGCACTTGGCCAATGATTCCTATGATTCCACCTAACGACGACTTGATCTCGATGACCTACTGGCAGCTCGAGCATCAATTTTTTTTTTCCTGATTTAGATTTTTTTTCCTCCGCTTGGTTGATCCTACAAAATATTGTCTGGTCTTCTGATAGACTAAACAACCCTTCTTTGCCCACCGTGTCACCAAGCTCCAGAAACAACGCATCACCTGATTGCAAAATATTGTCCGATATAGGCTACCGTGATGACTAAACAACCCTTCTTTGCCCACCGTGTCACCAAGCTCCAGAAACAACGCATCACCTGATTGCAAGATGCAGATACACGGAACAGATTCGTAGATTGGCTTGGACAACCATTGTTGAGGCCTTCGGAAAGGGCACCTGGTGATAACGTGCAACACTTGTGGGAGACAATGGTATCCACAACGTCCATTTCCACAGAAAGTGTTGCGAAGCATTTGTGATGTTGATATCTTGTGAAATCTAGTCTAGAAGGAAAGTAACTGTGGAGTGTTCGAATGCAAGAAATGGAGCACCTTGGTTATGCTCCAACAATCGAGGAGGAAGCGTCCACCTGGTTTTGCATGGGTTAGCGTCTTTGTTAGCACGAGTGTAGGTTTTGTACTCCCTGTTAGGACCCCTTTAGAACACAGGAGTTTCACAAGAATTGTACATGAATTTAGTGATTAGTTCATTTTCACGGGAAAACGTAGGAAACAGGAAAAATTCCCACAATCCAAAGGGGGCCTTAGCCATAATGCAATTCTCTCTTCTCTGCCAATGAAGTCGGCACAATCTCATGTCCCATTCGTTAAACATATTTAGATAAGTTTTATAGTGGTCAAAGAAAAAGGTAGAAAATAGGAGGTATCAACATGCTCCTACGCGGGCGTCCAACCATCTCTACCTAACAAGTTTCTCTCCCACGCCGCTGCTTGTGGCTGACACGGCCGGTCATCTCCGCTCGCCTTTCTCCTTCGCCGCTGACCGCCTTACTCCCTCACTACCTCTTCCTCCCTCATGGCCTCGCTTGCCCGTGCCCATCCTCTTTCTCCCCTCGCTGATGCATCTACCCGCCTTCTTGTCTCGCCTCCATGGTGGCAAAGTGGATCTAAGTGGACACCTTTATGGTGAGCCGTCTCTCGGCTATGAACTCCTCCATGGTTGGGTCCATCTCGGTGATGAACTACAAGATGGAGGGGTGGCCTCGCTGGCAGCAAGATCCTCCATGGTGTCTAGGCTCCTTCACACGAAAGGGCAATCGGATCTGCACTGTACGGTGGCAGACTAGGTACAAATTAGATTTTGTGATGTTGCAATAGCTTATTGGAGATGTTACAACATGTCTTTTTGGATGTTACATGAGGTGATTCAATATGTTTCATCGCATAATTTTGATGTCACATACAGGGAAATGCAAGTCTGGTATCTATTAACGTGAGTTATGTTGTAGTATGTGATATGTTGCCATAGTCAATCTTGGATGTTGCAAGTTTTATGGTACACTCCATACAAATTGGATTTTGCAATGTTGCAATAGCTTATTTGAGATGTTGCAACAAGATTTTTTTGGATGTTACGTGAGGTGATTCAATATGTTTCATCGGATAATTTTGATATGTCACATGGTTTGATTTTGAGATGTTGTGGTTTGAATGTGAAGCAAAAGGCAATGCTGTGGTGAGATTTTTTTTGTTCGATCAGCTACATGCGTGCGTGTGATGTTCTAGCTTTAATTTGTATTCTTAGTGTTTCATAAGTTTATTTGCAATGTTGCATACGTACACTATTTCTTTAGTGTTGCAAACCTTGTTTTTCAATGTTGCAAGGAATGATTAACATCTGATCCATTTGTCTCTCTTTCCATCTCTTCCTCATATACGTCGAGGTTCAATTCAGTGTGTGCACCGGCGCGTACGTGTTAGCAAAGGGAAGGAGCGCTGGAGTGGGATGGGTAGAGCAGAAGCGTACGGATGATTATTGTGTGTCGGACGTCTGGCCGCTAGTAATACTGCAAAAGTAATGGAAACAAACTGGTAGGCACGGCACAGAAATTATTAAGACTGCCTATATATATTTTTTAATAAATGGTAATTTGGTAAATTCACCTTTTTTTTGCGAAATTAATCGGCTATACTCATGGCCCCAGCTCTGGACGCCCCAGCCCACTATTTAATTTCAAATCATAGGCCCATTGTTTGTTGGATTTCCCGGGTTAAACCAACCTAGCCGTGGAAAGGAGGTGGCCACGGTATAAAAGGAAATAGAAACAAACACGCGATTGTATGGGAAGCTGGTTGATGGGCCGCATGGCTATGACTGCATGTATGTTGACAACATCAGAAGATAAGGCCTTGATGAGTAGGTTATAGAATTAATGTGTATAACCTGGATTGCTGCAGCTGCACCGTGTGTATGCATCCACACATGCATCGACTCCTTTGAATCCATTAAAGTATGTGTTCCCTCCTGAACCAAACAAATATTCGCCATGTTCGCTTGGCTTATAAGCCGTACTTTTTCAGCCAACGAACAACATTTTTCTTTCATAATAAATCAGCCAACAGCACTTTCAGTCATGGCTTATCAGCCAAACGAACATGGTAATTATTGTAATTTTCCAGACATTCAACAGCTTGCCTTCTCTTTCATTCCTCACTATTTCTCTAATGAACATTGAGCTACGCTGAATGTTCACACAAAAGCACCAATCGTCTATGTATTATGTTTATAAGTTGCTCCAAATTAACTTTTTTTTTGCGAGAAACCAAACATAGTTGCCTTGCCTTTGCCTACATTAGCCTACGTTCGGGCTGTGTTTGGTTTCGAAACGTCTCGAGACGGGAACGGGACAGGACCGTCCCCTTATCACCAAGTGTTTGGTGGAGAATATATACAAACGCACAAAACAGGGAGTTAAACAGGTTTAAGACGATTTGGGAGCTCTCGGGTTGATGATGTATAGAGCGGGCGTCCAACTCGATCCATGTCCGATGACTGGCATCGTGAGGTCAGTGGATGGATGAACTCGAAGAGCTAATGAGTGACTAGTATGTTGCGCGCGCCCTTGCGCGCGTCGTATATCGGGAAGCAATTAGCACCTTATAAGCACATGCTTTATGTTAGCAGGAAAATGTTATATCTCTCTTTACAGGCCACACACACCAAGAACATGCCGTGGAAGTTTTTTTACTTGAGAACTACAGAAATTGGCTCATGTTTTTTCATGGAACAGATAAACTTAGGGTTAAATTTGCCTCACATGCAGGCATGAATCAGCGAAGAACTGAATGAATTACAATGGCAACAATATTCACTCATCATCCACTATTGTGCTAAACTATTATACGACCCAGAGACGTACCTGAATGGGAAAAGAAAATATCTACTTTTGACAATGGTAAAAATATGAGAACATTAATGTTGGATTGGTTCGCCGGGGATGTCCTGTGAAAATATTTTGCATCTTTAGCCTTCTTTCATCTTCGCCATAACTGCATATGCTATCTGCATTTCAACATAGCACATTTTGCTTCAGGGCTAATGATAGGGTGATATGCGGAATCATGGAGATGGCAATTATATGTTGCATGCGTAATAACTGGAATTAATTTAGTAAGTAGTCCAAGGTAAGAGTTGAGTACATAGATATGTGTTATATACCTTTTGAGTGTAATCATCGGTGACGACAGGGAAGAAACAATGTTTGGTAAGCTGCCGTGTCTTCTGGGACTGGGATGCAAGCCGCAAAGGGGAAAAGTTGTATTATTTAGTTAACGAAAGCTATCAGAAGAAACAATTAGCGAGGAATGCCGTCATTTTTTCCCTTCTTTTGACCAGACTTGCCTTGCGCATATCCCTGTGTGCACAGTGCCTCTACGTCTTTTTTTTTTGTACAGATTTAATTTAATGGATATTGAACATGTCACGTGCATTGAACTAAATTTACAGGTGCAATACCTATGATGTGGCAGCTAATGGCATTTCTTCCATAAGCATTAAGGCTAAAGCTGAAGTTAGAGACGTAACGTAGATTTTTTTTTGGCTGAACAAGGTAGGTTCAACACGTAATAAATAATTATGAAAAATCTTTCATTCTTAGTTGTTTTATTTACCTATACTTGGCTCCGTAATCAAAGATGGCACCACCGGTACGGTCAAAACTTCGCTATGCTCGTGCTGTTTTGGCTAGGGCACTCGTCGGCGGTGTGGTGACGCGTCAGTGTCCGCCTTGGGACGTCGTCGTGGTGATTGGGTGCACGTGGCCCGACCACCTCGGCCCTCCCCTGCATCGACCATCGCCATAGCGTGCACCACGGTGAGCTACTGATGCTTCTCCGCTATCTCTATCCGTCCATAGGGACGTAGGCTCACCGGAACGCTCACGCCGCCGTGGTAGTTGATCCGCCGACGCAAGCAGTGCATTAGCAGTCACCGTCTAACTTCTAATCGCCGCCCAGGGTTTTGTCTTGGCTTCGCGATGCTTGTCGGCCTGCTTGTTTGACCGGTGCCTCGCTCCATTATCCGGCGTAGGTGTGCAATGTCGGCCAGAACCGCGCCGTCACGCGCAGGGCGTCGGGGACCGACTCACTGAGAGGGTAAGGTTATTGAGGTTGCTCGATGCAAAACTTGTCTCTAGTACAATAGTACGCGGAGTCGCCGCGTAGTACTATGATAAGCCGAGGACCTTTTTGCTAAATATGTGAGTACGCTCGTGTAGCGGGCTAGTTGGGCCGGCCTACTGGCACGCGGCCAAGCCCCGCGCGGGCCGCAGCGGGCGGCTGGGCCGAATTGGTGACCAGTCTTTCCCTTTTTCCTAAAGTATTTTCTAATTTAGTTTCTAAGGCAAACTTG